CAAAGGGGCTGACGCTCAGGCGGATCGAACCTTTCGATTGATACTGAAACAATTTGCATACTGATTCTCTTTCAGTGCGCACGGATCCATAACAACACCGGCCAGCTATTCAAATGCGCCTGCATCGAGAAAAGCACGGAGAGAAGCACGGCACCGGAGCAGGAAAAGAGAGGCTTTTTGCGGGACGGATAATTTGCGTTTGGAAACGGTGTCGCGTGAAGCGGCTAAGGATGTTTACCTCGGTCCGGATTTGGGACTGTGGCAGCTCTGGAGGAAAAGCTGGAAGCCGGAGGAGGAGGACGAGGGAAGAGGGTGGGACGGGGAAAAACACACACACGGAGGAGATGCGCGGATGCGAGCGCACCCTCTGTGTTTTTACAACTCGTATGTTTGGAGTTAAAGAGTTTCTGTACATTGATGCTGAAGCTCTGCGCGCTGCTGTTATGGGAGTGAGCTGGGAGGCTGTTACAGATGCATGACAGGATGGGATCCTGCGGTAAAGTCGGGAACTACAGTGTGAGTGTGTGAGTGTGCGTCCACCGTGCGTGTACGCGCGTGTGTGTTTAAGTGTGGCGCAGAAGAAGAGGAGTTTAAATGCAGACATTTTCCACCCTTGGCACCCTGTTGAGAAGAGACGTGGACAAAAGAGTGCCGTCCAAGTCTGACGCACTATTTCTCTGCACGCTGATGCATCTGCACACACACACACACACACACACACTTACACACACTTACAGCAGCTGCGACACATCTCAACCTGTAATATCTGCATACTGGCACCAGATCATGGCCAAACAGGTTGTCTGGAGGAGAGCTTTCTTAATTAAACACTCGGGTTCATTTAAATGCTGTTACAATAATGCGGTGCCAAACCCACAGTGGGTAATACTGGAAAGAATTGCTGATTGATTTTCTACATAATGCAGCTCTGTGTATCTGTAAAGCCAAGTTGCGTTATTTTAAATGCGGGTTTAGCTCACTAAGAGTTGCCTTCACGTTATGAAATAAGCAAAAACAAAAAGCTATTGGTGACAACAGCTGATTAATACATTATCCAGTATGGCTGAGCGTACGCGCGCAAGCACACACATACAGCTTTAGATTTTCTTGTAAAATAAAATTAGCCTAATTGTAAATGCATGTATCTGAAACATTAAAGTTTCTCTTGGTGACCATCAGGTGAATTTACATGCAAAGACAACGATGTACTAAAAAGGCATGCTGTCAAATCTCTTATTGGAAAGCAGCCCCACCCTGTCGTTGTTAGCAGATGGAAAAATATTCATGTAATTTACAATGCTAAAAAATAATCCCTAATTATCAAGCCTAAAAATTGAGAGGACATTCTTGTCTAAATTAGGAAATATTCAGGGAGGTCATTATTTGCTGTGTTTGTGATAAAATAAATAGACAACATAGTGTGGAAATTGTTCTTTTAGTGATTTTAGCCGGACCTGCTATCCTTGTAAATTCACAAAATATCAAATGTTTTCACAGGCAACTTACTGTTAAAGTAATTTAAAAGTATGATTATTTCCCCAAAACTATTTTTAAAGCAGGGAAATTAAGGCGCCAGAAATTATAGCACCACCCTACATTTCCAGTAATCTCCCCAGTAATGAAGAAGACGCTCCTAAATTTCCCAAACACTGATTACTGCTGCTCATGAAGGCGCCGTCTGTTTAGGGAAGAAGTCATTTGGCTGTTGAAGTGCACATTTAGAGCATCACGGTGGGGCTGGTTTGGCTATCGTTAACACGGTTTTGTTGTCATAATTGGAGTCTCACCAAAGTTACAGGGAGTAATTGGGCGGCATATGGACACCTTAATGTAAAGTGATGCCTTATTAATTTCACATGAGTGCGCGAATCAGAGCAAGTGACGCGGAATAACACGAGGGAAGAGGCAGTTGATTTACCCCTGAGCAAGGCAGCAGGTCCGGCATCTGCTGCTCGGCCATGAAGGCATTTAGATTAATTAGGGACACATTTTAATAAAGTAAATTCCTGAATCAAAGGGGTAGAAACTGGAGTGGTTTTATTATTATTATTTTAGCTCTGGTGCGTAAATGTTCCTGTTTGGTGACTTTGATCACACGTTTTTACTTACAAAACTTAGACCAGCTCGCCTTAAATGCTGTTAAATGGGATTTAAAACTGTAGAAGCTTAAAGAGAAGATGATCTGTGTTTAGTTCTTAATGTAATCTTGGCTTATCGCCTGCTAGCTGATTTACCAGTGAGGTCGAAATGGTGATTTTTTTTTAAGTGACTTAATTTTACTTTACTGTTTCAGCCCCAGAATAAAGTACAACACATTTTAAAACCTTATTCTGCACAGCTTTAATACTAATTTAATTTATACATGTGTTTTACTTAAAGATAAAACTCGGCTGCTGATTTAAATAATAAGAATTGAATAAAAAAATATTTATAACACAGATACAGACGCATAAAATGCCAAGGAGAACATGTGCGTAAAAACGTTGATTTTAAGGTTTGGTTTATTCTAATAATTCAAAGGCCTTAGCCCGGGTTCCTCCAGGAATTATAATTTTATTCAGTATCGATTGGCGCGATGTGGTGTGTTTTCAAGGCCTATACTTCAAATATGCTGTATAAAGGCCAGCCACAAACACTGCAATGCACATTTTAAGAGCAGAGCGCAGAGAGGCATAATCACATCTCTTCTCAAATATTGCAACTTTTATCATATCTGTATTTTGCACTAACATGTTTTGCTTTTAGGGGGAGAATTTCAGGGAAACATGTCAGAGCAATAATATTTATGAAGCTGGAGACTTTAAAGGTGAACCAATAAATTAGTTTATAGGCTGAAAAGGATAAAAGAGCAATGTGATTTGTTTTTCAAAAGGCTAATTCAGTTTCCCCCCTTATATCACATAGGTCCATCCGCCATAAATGACCATATAGGCCAAACTCAAGTAGCCTCATTTATAAAAGTTCAGTTTCACCAGATGCCATTTAGCAGTGGCTTATTCCCAAACAGGCTGTAATTGTCATTTTGAACATCTATAAGGCTTGCAACGCTGTGTCACTTTGCAGAGCTGCCGAAATATTGATCCACGGTCCTCTCTGCGAGGCATTATATTGTTTCTGCTCGGATATGCTGCTGTGGGCTTCACGGGAATGACGCCCTTGATTAATAATCAGTGTGAAACCTGTAAGTAAATGACACGGTGCCTTCAGGTGCCCATTGCCTGGCCTCCATTTAGCCATGGCACAGACTTCTCTTTTTCTCATAAAGATAGATTATATTTAAAAAGAGAATCAATCTATTTTTCTAAACTCGTCTGCATATCCACATCCGCACACGTGAGGCTCTATATTGGTCTGCGCCTCTGTTTCTTTTGTACTAATTGAATTGAATCCTGCTTGAGATGTATCTTCTTTCAGAAGTGCTCAGAAAAAACGTGTCCCCTTATATTCTCTGCAAAGCAAATGTCACCGGCTCGTAGGGCCAGGCCTATCTCGGCACAATGGCCACAGAAAGCCAACACACATAAACACACAGCTCAGGTCGTGCAGACATGGCAGGAGCCTATCGATCTGTATGAGAATGTGTAGATGAGGTTTGCTGCCATGTAAGGCCAAAGCTTGGCCTTTCATATTCCTCTGTCTTTCTGCATCTTGTCTCTGCGCGTCTGAGCGAGTGTGCAGAAATAAAAAGGGAATCATGTGGCCTACTCTTGAAAAATAAAACTTGTATTACCAGATGGAGAGTTATTTAAGGATAATGTAAAACTGTGTGCACTAGTTTTTAAAGTTAGAATTTAAAAAGTCGGATTAAATACAAATTGTGTCCCATAATATGGAGTGTGACACACCTGATTTAAAATTAATATATATATTAACAGTGTTTTTGTTTCCCTGTTGTCAGCCTTATTAGCCTGCCTCTTAAGTCCATTATGTCCACAGGACTGCACGGTTGGACAGCCACACTTCGAGGAATTAGTCCCCCTTTGTCTCGACACACGTCACACACACGCCGTTGACATTGACTTCACATCAGAGACAGTTTAACTTCTTCTCTTCTTTTTTTTCTTTTTTTTTTTCTTTTATTTAACTCGTTCAACCGAGCGCTGGCTCTATTGTGGGGACCCTGACAGATGCGGGGCCCCTAGCAGGTCCTGGACAGGGAAAAGTCTGAAAGGTTAATCTGTCCCCCCGCAGATGTTGGCTGTGGGAGTCTTGAAGCGTCACCTTTGACATGTCCCTCATTCAGCAGGGGGTCCAGCAGGACACTGACCGCTGCAAGCTGTCACCTCGGGCCGGCTGAGGACGCCCTGCGCTACCGCTCTATTAGGCTAAACGGCCCCTGACATGTAAGCAGGGGCCCGGCTTTTAGGGGGCTGCAGGTTTTGGGGGGGGGAGACATAATGCACTACAACAACACGGGGATAGCAGTCATGTTATGTGTCAGCATGTCACTTCCGCCATGGTCTTGGATTTTATAGAGATGCTGTGAGTGTGTGTGTGTGTGTGTGTGTGTGTGTGTGTGTGTGTGTGTGTGTGTGTGTGTGTGTGAATTTGTATTATTTTCTGTGGACAAAAATAAATAAGCTCCTGCTCGAATAAATAACATGCTGGCGTTTTTTCTTTGTAATGTGCATGCGCAAATGATTCTTATAAACTTAAGGATTAAATGTGCATGTGTCCATCTCCAAATAGGACAGGCACACACACACACATACGCACACACATACACTGCTGGGCTTGGTTCGTTAAGCCTAATGGTTGAACAATAGACACATCTGCTCATCTTTTTCTATCAAAGGAGAAGGTACTACAGTCTCCTTGGTTTGGTTAAACCGCCACATATTTGGCAGGGCTGTGGGGGTGGTGCAACTGATGTAGCCTAATAATCAAAGAATGGATCCACATGGATACATAGGGTATAACTTTAGTGCTGCTAATTAAATAATTATGCTTTGTTGTAATTTCTGAAGCCTCCTTTTTGTGTTTTCCAGAGAAGAATTGAGTGTGTGTTCATCCGAGGTTTGGAGGTTTTTCTATCCCAGACCTCACTAGTTAAAAATCAACTCCAAATGAACCCGGAAGTTTACTTCATTTGCACTTAATCATTTAAGGAGGACTGAAGATAAAGCCTCATTATGGCCCTAATGAATGAAACATTTTGTAAATAACAATTGGCAATCAAACATTAGGCGTTGCATCCAGCCCATTTGCACGGGTCGATCCTGTGAGGGTTTTATCAGAGAGCCGTCTATTTGCATTTTTAACATTTCAGTAAAGTCTGGATGTGGCTGATCGGGGAGAGGAGCTTTTAGCAGGTGGTTTGATACCTCCCTTCCTTAATAAGGTAGCTGACGTCAGAGCAACGGGGCGGTGTGTGCGCGCGTGTGTTTGAGAGAGAAAGAGAGAGAGAGTATGGGAGGAGATGGGCGCTCGTAGTGCGCATGTGCAGACAGTGATCTGTGCTGCGGTGGAAGAGGGGCTGGACACACACAACTAGAGAGATGGCGCGGCACCCGACCGGAGCGCAAGGACAGCTGGTTGGCGGTGGGGGGGCTTGAATTATAAAGAGAAACAGAAATTTAATTTAAAGAAGAAAAAAAAAACAAGAAAAATATCGAGAAAAAAAAGGATCCGGAAAAAGGAGTTTCCATTCTGCAACACAGCGTCAGAGGTAGGAGAATATATGTGTATATAAGAACAGCATAGCAAAGGAGGCAGCTGCAAGAAGAAGAAAATAAGCAACAAAAGAAAATTGAACTTTACTGGATGTGAGGACTTCTGGACATCAGCTAACTGCGGTAGATCAGATAGATGGTTTGTCCACAGCGCTGCCCGGATCATGAACGCACAGCTGTCGATGGAGAATATTGGCGACCTGCACGGAGTGAGCCATGAGTCCGTGGCCGGTCACGGAGAGCTGCTGAGTGGCCACAGTCCGCATGCCCGTCCGAGCCCCCGGGGTCTAAGCCACCGCGCTATGGGCATGGCAACCCTGTTGGACAGCGGAGACTATCACCCCGGACACCATGGACACCTGCATCCAGCCATCAGCATGTGCGAAGCCCCCCCTGGCATGAGTGCAAGCAGCACTTACACCACCCTAACCCCCCTGCAGCCCCTACCCCCCATCTCCACCGTGTCCGACAAGTTTCCTCCCCATCATCACCACCACCATCCCCATCATCCTCACCATCACCCCCACCAGAGGATCCCCGGAAATGTCAGCGGCAGCTTCACGTTGATGCGTGAGGACCGGAGTCTGGCGCCTATGAACAGTCTGTATCCCGCATATCATCACAAAGACCCCTGCATGGGCCAGAGCCTCTCCCCGCTGTCTGGTTCCGGTCTGGCCAGCATACACACGTCCCAGGCCGGCATCCCTCCCTACGCTCATCCCGGTGCCGCCATGCCTGGTGAGAAGATGCTCACCCCCAGCGGGTTTGAGGCTCACCACCCGGCCATGCTCGGCAGACACACAGAGCAGCACATGAGCTCCTCAGCGGGCATGGTACAAATCAACGGCCTCCACCACCACCCGCACGCCCACCTTGGCGCGCAGGGGCACGGCCAGGGGCTGGGGAACAGCCGGGAGCAGGCCTCCGGGCCGGGGCAGCAAGGGGGCGGCGGTGGAGGGGGTGGTGTTTCTGGGGGCCAGATGGAGGAGGTGAATACCAAAGAGGTGGCGCAGAGGATCACCACAGAGCTGAAGCGCTACAGCATCCCTCAGGCCATCTTTGCCCAGCGGGTCCTGTGCAGGTCCCAGGGGACCCTGTCCGACCTGCTGAGGAACCCCAAACCCTGGTCCAAGCTCAAGTCTGGGAGAGAGACCTTTCGCCGCATGTGGAAATGGCTGCAGGAGCCTGAGTTCCAACGCATGAGTGCGCTCAGGCTCGCAGGTGAGCGAAGCCTCGGTAAAGCCCCCTTTTTGTTTTCATCTTGTGAATGTGTTGCTGAGAGAAACAGACGCTCAGACACAGCACAGAGGACCATTAGCCCTGAATGCTACCTTATACTGAGCAGTGGGTCAAGTGGGCTGGGAACCTGAACTGATGTTGTAGTTTTTATTATATCAGAGAAAAAAATAGACATTTTTCCAGCAGTAAAGTGTAATGAAAAATCACATCAGGGCAGCATTCAGGACAAATGTTCCCTCTGGGCTCATAGTTTGTTTTCATTCAAATATCATAACATAATGTCTCCTCTTTCTCCAAAAACCTTTATAATAAACAAAGCTGGTATAGTCAAATATTTTAGATGCAAGGTGAAACTGGGCCATGCCTCAGGGTTTGATGAACTGACCCTGGTTCCTTTAGATAAGGCCTCCAAATTAGAGCTCTGTGCATGGAGGGGAGGTCTGCTGGACGGTCAAATCCAACATTACACAGTATGTCAAACAACACATCCAAGTCGCTAAAGTTCAAAAATGCCTCACAATGCTGATGCTCGTGCACCAAAACGAGCGGCCTGATATCAATACGCATCCCTTTTCCGTCTCTACACTGATTTTGGGGTTGTGCGAAACAAGTGCTCATGTCATTTTACCTCAAAATATCGACCGCTGGACTGTGTGCGTAAGCTGATCCTGCGCCCAGAAATCGTTAGGAATGTGTTTATTTTGGTGTAGATGCAACTGATCAGCCTTTTTGGTGTTGCCCTTGGTGTAAACAGAGAGAGAGGAAAGTGTGCGTGCACGTGTTCTTGAGAGTGTGCGATAAACTAAATTTAAATGTCAAGTAAAGCTGGAGTCATGCATTATTTAGTCTGTGAAATGGGCTTTGTCTTTCACTTCGGTGAAATTACACGCCTTCATTTCAGCATAGGATAAAGTAGAGAGCATGTGTTTGTGTTTGGGTCGTAAACTAACCCTGACTTGACTGAGGTTTCTCTAATTAACTGATAGACCTCTGTATAAATTTGTCCCTGAGGTACGCACGAGTCAATTAGGGCGCGCGTTGAGGCCCAAATCGCACGTGCGCGTTCACAGACACCCAATGGATTTTTTTTAACGTTTATAGGTCTGATCAATGACCTACAAATGGGCTTTTTGACTTTTTGAAAAGTGAGGCTGTGGCCACATTGAAAGTGCGTGATTTTGCGTGTGTGTGTGTGTGTGTGTGTGTGTGTGTGTGTGTGTGTGTGTGTTTACGTGCATGTAGGCCTAAGTGTAATCGCAATTGATTACTTTTCAGTTTTCCCATCTGCTGCTGCTGCCAGTGTGTGTGTGTGTGTGTGTGTGTGTGTGTGTGTTAGCTGAAGATGAGATTTTATCACTTGTAAATTAGTAAAAAAAATCAAAGTTAACTTATGAAAGCTGGTTTTGTATTTGATCATTAGTGTATTTGATCATTACCCTATAATTAAAACAAAAATCATATCAGTACTCTGTTGATCAGTACTGACGAAGGTTTTGATTTTTTTTTTTTTAAGAAGAGGAAATTCATACTGGCTATACTGGGAAATAAAATCTCAGGCCTGCTTCACTTCATTAATTGTTGATTAATTTGTTCATTAATTTTTCCCATTCATGTTATACCCTGCCTTGTTTTTATCTCGCCTTTTTACTAGAAAAAAAAATCAGAATAATCAATATTAAAAATCTTCTCTCGAGCAAAAACTAAAAATATAAAATCGTGGATTTTACTTGGAAAACACCAAACCAAAAAAAGACTGAAACTGGAGAAAAATGTACAGTTAAAAACTAAATTAATTTGGAGAGAATAGGCTGAGCGGCGTTTTATTGATCCGTTCGTTCCTAGGTGAACTAGATATGTGATCGTGTGCTGAAGTAGATGTGATATACTTATTGATTGCAGGCTTCTGAAATTAATCTCGGGCCTTTTCTGCCTTTCCCACGTATTCAATTACCCATCTGAATAGAATAGAATAGAATAGAATAGAATAGAATAGAAAATGTTTTGAAGTAAGATGTGATTTGCACAGCACATGATTAATGAATTCAGAAATGAGAGATCAGTTTTGATCAGTAGACAATGTTGCATTTAATGTCGGTTGATTTTTCTGGTGTTTTTAGACATTGCACGCGCCAGTCTACCTGCTTACAGTAAATTAGGAATACACATTCTCCCAACAGTAGTCATAGGGTTGAATATTTGCAGCATTTGCAGCACAGAGGTCTGTTTGTTGTTCTCCTGTGCTCTCTGTGAGATTATAGAATGGAGGACTATCGTCACCCCCGTCTGTAAGGCCCTGTGTGTGCAGTCTGTGTGAGTGTGTGGAGTTATCTGTGTGTTTGTAATGATTAGCCGGGAGCAGCAGCGGTGTGTGTGTGTACGTGTGTATGTGTGTGTGTGATTAGCGTGATAACGAGGCCTCTTGTTATGTTCCCCGGTCCTGGGAAAGCTGCCTCTCTGGTCGGGCCTCCTGTACCGGGGCCGGGGCCGCTGTGTGGTGGCTCCTGCTGTCTGAGTGGCCTTCACTGCTGCTGATTTATAGCAGCCCTTACACGAAGAGCCGCGGTTCTCTGTTAATATTTACCAGCACTGGAGACACCGGGCTGCTCAAACTCACAATTACACTCCAGTTTATGGTCACGCGGGTATGTCGCTGCACTGTACTTTACCACACACCTGAGAGTGTGTGTGCGAAAATGAGGTTACAAGGTGGGATCAGCGATACCAGCTTCAAGACTGGTTTAATGAATGAGTTGATTTAAATCTATCTCTAATGAAGCTTTACTGCTACTTTACTATATGTGAATTTGGAATGCATAACACAGATATAAGCCTTCATAAAAAAAAGACCCAAAATATTAGAAAAAAGTTATAGAGTGATTATTTTCGAAATGTTTCTCCATATCTTGTTTGGAGAAAATGTATCTGAATATGTCTCTTTATTTGTGGGTTTTATTTACTTGGTTTACTTTGCACATTACTGTGTTTTGAGGGGATTTTTTTTTATAATGAGATTATTTTATTCACCCGTTGCATTTTGTGGTATTTATCAGTACTGCTTTAAGAATTGCTTTGTGGTGGGAATAAGCCGTTCATTAGTTTCCCCAGTGAGACTGGGCCTTGCTCCAGCAGCCCACGTCTGCCCCCTCCTGGTCTCTGCTCACCGATCAGCCTCAATTTGGGTGGCTATATGGGGCTTCAAAATAAAAATAATAAAACGAAATAACAATGAGAATCAGTTGAAGAGATGTCTGACTTGCTGTCATATGGATTCCCAAGGTATTCTTTCCAATAAACGATGATGTGTAGTTTATTTTACCCACAGCTGTGCTATGTAGCAGCGCACCGTTGTTTTCAGCACCGCGGACAGCACTCATTGTTCCCGGCTGACAGACTCCCTGTCTGTCTGCTCTCTCTAGCGGAGCTCCTGCTCTGGTCCGTGGGCCAGCAGAGGTCTGTGGTGCTCCGTGGGCACAGGGGAGCAGTTTGTCTTTCTGTCAGAGATATATTCATTTTAACCCAAACCACATTCCCCCCCTAAACTTAACCGAGAAATCCCTAAGGCAACTCTGTTGGGGGAACTCTGAAGGTAGGGTTCTCCCAACAGCTCGTGGGCTCCCTGAACAATAAGGAAGAGTTTATTCCCGCTGTATTTCCCATGCACCCTCGCGGTTTATCCACTGAATGTCTTGGTGTTAAAGAGGGGTGCTTCTAAGACAGAAGGAAGAATAGAAGTTGGAAAGAAAGAAGAAGTTATGAATGAGTGTTAAATATGACTTTGACACTTTGTCCACTGATTCAGTTTCAGACTACATTCTGTGAACCCTAATTGTGCACTGTTTAATCCAGTATATATATATACTGCAGTACATTTATAACTATATCATTCTAATTGCAGTAGCTGTAAATGTGTAAACATAGACAGTGCAGGAAGTGTGGCTGCAGTAGAGCCAATTTGGGGGGCGGTACCCATAGGGAGAGTGAGCCTTCCCATGATATGTTGGGCAATGACCAGGTACTTGTAAGTGATTCATAGTGAGGTGCCAGCTTTCAGGGCATATCTGAAGTTTAAGGAGAAATGTTGCTGTTTCCTATGCTCCAAAAAAGGCAAACCCATCTCCCTAATGGTTTTCATCTTGTTTGGTAAAATGGTCAGTAGCTATCTAAAACAAAATTGCATACTTATTATCCATGAAGTCTAAAAAGAAAAAAACTATTTAATTGAGTTAATATTTTCATTTTCTTCAGTACATTTGTCATATACAGATATGCAATGATTGCTGGGTAATATGTATGTGTTAGAACAATATGATGTACCATAGCTAGTTTAGGGGCAAAATCTGCTTCATAACTATTGACTAGCATGCACTTTGGCCCATGACAATAGCATACAGCTACCTCACACCACTGAGTAGCTAGTCTTGCTAATTACAGTGACACAAGTTAAACCAGAGAGGAAGACCTGACATTCAGATCAGCTGTTGCAATTTTTGTTTGGGTTGTAGAGGTGCACAGGGCATTAAAGTGTTAAAACACTTCTTTGGTTCTTCATGTCACATTTGCAGTTACAGGAAACAAAAGCAATACTGCTATCAGTTTAACATGACTTCTACTGCTGGTAGAGGATCATGGTATTACCATTTTATCTTCTGGGATAATATCACTGGAACTGTCACATTAGCAATATAAAATGAGGTGTTGTGGTCTCAAAAGTAAGAATTAATCTTGATATAAGCATGAGTGAAAACCTTAATTTGTTGTGGACCTGCATCTGTGCACCAAACCAACCCATGTATGAGGTAGTTTGAGTCAAAATGGATTGGTAAATAGCTGATATTTGTATTGGTCAATAGTAATCACATCAGTGTGTCTCTGTTAGAATAAAATCACTACTATGTTGAGGTGGAATGGGGGAGAACCACTGAGATAACTCATGGGTCAATCTATGGATTTATTCAGGAGAGAAGATTCTCATGCAGCATCAAGTGCATTCTGCCCTCTCTCACAAACCCTCTCTCTCTTTCTGCTTGTCTCTTTCCTGAATCCATCACAGCATGTAAGCGTAAGGAACAGGACCACGGCAGAAGCGAGCGAGGGAGCGTCTCCAAGAAGCCCCGGCTGGTGTTCACAGATGTGCAGCGGCGGACGCTCCACGCCATCTTCAAGGAGAACAAGCGCCCATCCAAAGAGCTGCAGATCACCATCGCCCAGCAGCTGGGCCTCGAGCTGGCAACAGTCAGCAACTTCTTTATGAACGCACGTCGCCGGAGCCTAGACAAATGGGTGGACGATGGCTCCGGTCACCCAGCCAACTCTGGCCCCAACGCCTGCACCAAAGCCTGAAGACGGACTGATTTGACCAACTCATGGACTGACTTAACCTCGGTGGAAAAGCTTTAAAACTTAAGAGAAACAAAGAGAAACTTAAAAAAGACCTTGAAGCAACATTTTGCCCTTAAACCTGTACTATATTGATATTTATAGTATCCAAAGATGAAAAAAACAAACCAAAGACTTCTTGTTTGACCTGCTTTGAAATGTTTGTTTCAGCAACACATTTACGTGTAACATACTGCAAAAAGACTATAGTTTTACTCCCCCTTCACCCACACTCACTGTCACTGGTCTCTAGCTTTACTACACCCTCCCACATGCCTCCCCACCCAGTAACAATCTATCATTCACCATCCTTATCTTTAATCTGACTGGTTGGTTTTAATGATGGGTTCCTAAATGGAGGTCTAATCAGCCTATTGGCAGTCTGATCTGCAGCTGTCCACACCCTTGAAAAACAGCCAGAATGTGGAGCTCCGGTGGGATTGGCCAATCAACTTTAAAGACAAAAAAAAATCCTACAGGAGCGACTGGATTGTTGTGCAACCTTGTTTGGATCGGTGGACTGTCTGTCTATCTGTCTGTCTGTCCAGCTGTCTTTCTATCAAGCATTCCAGACAGACGGGGGAATGCCCATGCGTAGACTGCTAACCCAGAACCAAAAAAAAACCCCAACCCTGAACCAAACCAAAAACAAAACCCCTAACCTCAACCCACATGGTAGTGCTTTCTTCCAACATGCTGAAGCGTTGAATGATTTAAACAAGAGAAACCAAAGCCTTCTACACCCTGAAGCCTCTCATGCAGCTTAGAAATAAAACCACTTCAGAATCTGCTATGAAGTAATTTGACCAAAGAGTATATTTTGTAGCTGATAATCCTAAGAGTACTTTTACCTCATGTCCTCCCTTACCTGCTGAGACAGACTGTTAGTTTGGCACCACAGAGAAGACAATGTCACTGTTTATGGTCTATACGACATTTTGAGTTTAATTCATCTTCACTGCAAATAGAAATATTATATGACACAACCTTGAAAAGTAACTGATATTTGCCTTATAGATGCCTTTTGAATCAAACTAAATATTCCAATTATATCTTCAGAAACACTGAATGTTGTAAATGGGAAGATGAATCACGACAGATACGTCTTGTATCCTATTAGTCTGTTAAATAATGCTCACAGATTTAGCCCAAGATTATGTGTTCAAACACCAGCAGCTGGCAAATCTATTCAGCGGTGTGTTTTCTCTGCAAAGGTGAAAACAAAAGATGCTGGCTCTCATGCTTTATGTGTGGACGGGATACAGTGAGAGAGACAGACGGCCTCTTGTGCGTGTTTTTTTCATAGGATAAACTGTGTCACCACTCTATTAATAAGCATCACCGTCGTCCCTGTGCGCCTCATATGTATTTGGTTTTATCTCCTCATCAAAGATGTGTGGCGGAGGGGATGATATCAATGATCAAACCACTTTCAGACGCTTACACAGCAATGTCAGCTCGTCACCTGAATACAAAAGCACCCCAGCCTGCTTTTTGCCAATCCCCAGTTCCCCTCCCCACCCCTCCCACCCTGCCTCCGCTCTCCTGGTAAGCTATGCATTTCAGCACTAGGAGGAAAGCACTACACAGGGCTGGCCCAGGGCAGCGTATCATTAAATATATTGAGCTGGCCCCTTGCCGTCATCCTCCTCATGGCCAGGGTTAGCAGCTCTACATTCATCAGAACAAGCGCTGAAGGAGAGGTGAGAGGCAGCCGCTTCTTCACCTCTGGAAGAAAAAACAAAACAAAAAAGACGACAAGAAACAAAAAAGTGTCAAGACCTGCTGATGTTTTATAGTGTGAACCAAAGATGCTACCTCACTCAAGTTCCATACGTGATTTCTATCACTTTGATGATACCAAAGATAACCAAAGATTTTTTCTCATTGCACGGCCTCTATGAGTGGTGTTAAAAGATGTTGTGTGTCTCCCCTCCCCCCATCTCCTCTCTCTTTCTCCCCCGTCTTCTCTCCTTTCTCCCCCTCCCACCTGCACTCAACCCATGCACCCCTGCTATGCGTGCTCTTGCTTCATCTGTGCTCTGATTACAGCTCCATAGATAGTCATGCTGATGTAGCTATAGGCAGATATGCTGGTCTAGACATAGATACACACAAGCGGCCATGCAGGTGCCTGCAGGATACAGCGAAGTTGCTAGCAATGTGATCGGTCTTTCTTTGTGATTGTTAGCAGTACCACAAAATGTAAAAGTTGACATTGTGGCTATATAAAAAAAAAATAATGTTTTACTTTGGTTCATAATTAATTTCAAAATTATCTATGTGAATTTGACGGAGTACTCCGCTGGAGTTTTTTTGCAGCTTTATTTCTGCTCTGCCTTGCCTCTTAGTGTGTATCTATTGGTTGATAATATTGATCCACCACATAGGTCAGACATCTTTACATGACAATAGACAGACAAGCTGACATAGCCATTGGCAGAATTGTTGACTCAACTATAGGCAGACATGTTCCTGAAAGTAGAAGCAGACGTGTTGCAATCTTTCTAAAACTCCCAGGACGAGTGCCTTGCTTGAACCAAAGTGTTAAACCGCTGTTGACCTCTCACCTTTGACTCTGTGAATACCTCAGCCTGTAGAAGGGCCACTACTGAAGAAACAAGGAAAAGGTTTTGTTTTTTTGTTTGTTTTTTTTAATCACACCGTGGTGCTTTCGCCAGCGCAACCATGCAATGAAAACATACCAAAGGAATTTCTGTTGTCCACTTCTACAGATTAAACCAAAGGTCTTTGTTTCTCCTCTCCCCCTGCCCTCCTTTTACCCCTCCATCCCTCCTTCCCCCCCCAAACCTTCCTCGTCTCTCTGCTGTGTGTAGGAAGGCCCAGCACTCTGGCCGTGCATGTCTTTACCAATGTCTCTGAATACCTCATAGTAATAATTCCTTTGAGTTCTGCATTGAGACGTCTATCTGTGAGTAAGGCAGAACTCCACTCGTGTGGCAACTGTTATTGTTACTTCAAAAAGCTGTATGATTATCTATTTTGAAGTTTTGATTTTTGGCAGAAGTGCTCTGTTTCAAGTCACGGAGGACAAGTTTCAGGGTTGATGTATGAAACTTAAGGGATGGAGGGAGAAGCGTATTTTTTATCAGACATTGGGTTATGCCAATATTATGATGGTAGACTATTGCTTTTACAGGGTAAAACCAACTGCTGTGATATTGTGTTCATATTTTCCCTTTTCTCTACTTCTGTGTTGTGACTTTAATTTAATTGCATTTTTGTAATGGTTAACCACTGCTTTAATTTATGCATTTGTAGAAACTCTAGATTTGTATATAGTAGGTTTTTGAAAAGAAAAACAAACAAAAAAGAACAGTTTTATGTTACAGCCTTATTTCCCACGCTTAGATATAAAAAGGAGTAGTTTGTATTCTTCTTCAGCTAAATCCTAGCCGGCATTTCAATGTGTGTTTTAAACACTGCCAGAAACCCAGACAGTTGATTTGCCAACGCAGACAAAGTTATACAGGAGCTACTTTGTTGAACAGCTGGCAAAAAGCAGTGTGTACGTGTGTGTGTTTTTTCTATTCTTTTGACTTTTTAAAAGAACGGTTATTTTATGGGTATTACTGCACATCCAAAGATTTTTAAAACAAACCAAAAATTGGAAAAAAATACGTATAATGTTGAAAAGCACTGGCATTTGTGAGGTAGACTTGTTGAGTTTTGATTTGCCATTCGCACGGGTATAGAATGTAGAAGGCGTAGGGCTACGTAGACAAGCTTACTCTACCATGTGGGGAATCTCCTGTTCAATGTACAATCTGAAGCATTTGAAATGAGGGCTGCAAGTCCCGCTCACTTTGCTGTCTCATGCACAGAGTGAGGTGGAGCGGAGGCTGGGCAGCCGGTCTGCCAGGGGCTGTGCCACGGAGCTGGGTCTGTTTTTATTGCCGTGGCACTGCCGCCTCGCTCCATCTAGTATCTGTTCTTTTGGTACGTACTCGTGTAATGACTATGAGCAAAGTCTAATAAAACTGCAAAGAACCTTACCAAGGAATCAGTGTGTGAATGTGTATAGGGACGATCACCTGCTAAGTTCTTTTTCTGTGTGTGGATGAGTGCGAGTGTGTGTGTGTGTGTTTTCTTGTACTTGCTACAAAGTGAGGACCAAAAAAAGTTTTTAACAACACAGTGAGGACATTTTTGGAAAGTGAGGACATTTTGGCTCGTCCTCACAGGATTAAGATTTGGTTTTAAGGTTCAGGTTAAAATAGGGTTTAGATTAAGGATAGGTTAGGGTAAGGGTTGGGGTTTAGTATTTAACTATGGTGGTTAAGGTTATGGTAAGGGGCTGGGGAGTGTAATATGTCAAAGAGGGTCCTCACAAAGAGTGCAGGGATGTGTGTGTGTGTGTGTGTGTGCAACTCAAATGTCAAGTACTGCTGAGGTATGGGAGTTGTTTGTGTGCTCATTTGCATGTGTTTTTTTTAAACTGTGTGTTCGTCCATTGTAAAAATCTGTGTGTACTGCTGGTGTGTATGCATGTGTGTGGCTGATTGGTCCATATCCCAACAGTAAGTTTGACTTCCTCTGGTTGTCGGAGGCTTTACTGTTAGTACTGCTTCCTCTCTGTCATGCAGACAGCACAGTATCAGCATGTTATGCAGTCATTATATCACAGAATGGAGAATGTGAGCATTTTTCAGCAAAGTACAGGTGCTTACATAACAGTTACAAAGGTCTGTGTTAAAGAGGGAATAGATGATGCAGTGTGGATCTGTTTTTCCCCATTTTCACATTTTCTGTTATTTATTTTGTCCATAAGGAGTTCCCATATGATGGGTAGCTTGGCTACAAGTCTCATAACAATACTGCGGCGCCTAAGACAATCATCTGGATCTCTTACGCTGGGGAACTAGTTTCTCACCCGCAGAGGGGTGTCCTCCAGCTATTCATATACAAAGATGCTTGAAGGGTTTTGATAAACAAGCATATTTGTTGTCATTTAGGAATAGATTACAGTAGTAGTTCATCTTGCACTTGCATTTCAGAATGAAATCTCATTGCTCTTGTCAGCCTTGAGCTCTCGTCAACCTTGATCTCTTTCTGTTGACCTCCTTCTCAACTCACAATGCTTCTTCAGTTTTTCAGTGTGTGTGTGTGTGTGTGTGTGTGTGTGTGTGTGTGTGTGCGTGTGTGTGTGAGTGAGTGTGTGTGTGTGTGTGTCTGTGTGTATGTGTGTGCTTGTGTGCGCGTGTCTGTGCCAGAGAGGCGATGCTGTCGTTTTACTCTCAGATGTATAACTCCATGTCTCATGACTTGATTTGTCATTGCTGTTTCCCAGGCTTTGCTACTGCTTTCTCAGTGCCGTGCAATATCATCTGTTGTGATTGCTAAGCAAATGAAAAAAAAGGAAAGAAAATTGAGAAGCAAGTGATGATGTCATCCAGCTTTTTTCAGTGTTCAAAATGTTTCAACATTTCTGTAGTCACAAAAAGTAGAAAATAAACTGTTGGTATTTCCAGCTTCTGAATTATGGGTCTGGTTATTATTATTATCTATGTTAGTGTGTGTGTGTGTGTGTGTGTGTTTTGTTTTGTTTTGTTCGGGGTTTTTTTGTCTCAGACAGGCAAATTAAATCAATAATACATCAAATCAGATAAGAAAGTAGAGGAAAAGACAAGCAGGCATGTAAATCTGCATTGAAGAGGAACCTGCATGAGCAGCTCATATGCTGTCAGGGTCAGAGGGTTCATTTGCACTGTGGAGCCCCATCTTCAAAATATATGCAATTGTATTCCTGTAAACAAAGCTTGAATCAGTGTTCTCCCATGACATGTTTTTACTTATACATAGTATATACATTATATTCAGCCGCCTGAAGGAACAGTGTGTAATATTCAGTGGGATTTAGTGGCATCTAGTGGTGAAGATTGAAGACTGCAACCGGCTGAAATGTCTCCCTACTAAAATTTCTTTAGTGTTCAGCAGGTTTTTTATTGGAAGCCATGTTATCTGTAGAGGTCTTTTCCTCTCCAAAAACAAACAGACCAGGTAAATAAAACCATTACAAAATTTAAAAAAAAGTTTCATGTTGAAACTCAGTGTTTCTCCTACACTGTTGGCCACATTATAGATGGGCTGCTAGCCCAGCACCTACTAATGTATGATCACCTTATATCTGATCAAGATATTCAAAAGAATGTCACTCAAAGCTGAATTATCTTTCTCTCCAAAACAAAGGGACCGGGTGATTTAAACCAATAAAAGTGCTTAATAAAGCAGTTTCATGTTAAAAAATCTGTGTTTTTCAATGCTCTCCGCAAGGAAGGGCTGCTGATGCGAAAACACAGATGACCCAATCTAGAACCAGTGTTTGGTTTGTCCATTCTGGGCTACTGTACAAACATGGTGGTGCAACATGATGATCTCTGTGGACAAGGACCTGTCCCCTATGTAGATATAAATGGTTCATTCTAAGGTGACTAAACATGATTCTTATTTACAGGTGATTGTACACTAAAGAAAACATGTCATATTCCATTTCTGCTGTTATATCTCCCTTAATCCTACACACTGAACCTTTAAATCAATCGATAATTATAAACCATAGTATCTTGTAAAGGCCATCAGTAAGTTCTTAACTTTAAATTTTTATTTTATTTTTATATACTTTATTAATCCCCGAGGGGAAATTCAATTTTTCACTCTGTTTGTCAATTACACACAGGTCCGAACACACACATGCACAAACAGGACCTATACATGTACATGCACTAAGTGGAGAGATGTCAGAGTGGGCTGCCCATGACAGGCGCTCTGAGCGGTTGGGGGGTTTAGTGCCTTGCCCAGGGGCACCTCGGCAGTGCCCAGGAGGTGAACTGGCACCTCTCCGGCTACCAGTCCACACTCCATATTTTGGTCCGGACGGGGACTTGAACAGGTGACCCTCCGGTTCCCAACCCAAGTCCCTATGGATGTGAGCTACTGCCGCCCCAATGTGCATGAATAAAATGTGAGTTGTTAAATTGCTAATTTTGCAATAAAATTTTGCAACGTATAACAGTCCATCAGCAATGGTGAATCTATTCGAAATGGCTCAACCTGCAAAAGTAGATTTGTACAGAGCTGTAAAATCCTCACTTTTTCTTAATTTAGCCATCACTTTAAAAACTGTTGTGTCATGTAATTTAGGGTAAACCTCAACCCCCTTACATTGCATTTAATTCATACTATCCAACCTTTAGGATATGGATAGCACCAACAGCAATCGAGCCACCAACTCTGACAGTGCACTCCCATCTAGTAATGTTGCAATAGGTGTATTTAACCATTTGATTTCCTTTAAAATATGTTGTTGTAAATAGTCAAACAGATTTGAATTCCAAATGACAAAATAGTAAAGTAATGTGGCTCTTTAGATAACTTATATGTGAGCACAGTCATGACATCAGCAAAGTAATCTCGATCATTTAAGCCTTAATCATGGATGGATTACCCAACAGGCCTACGAGGCACAAGCCCAGGGACCCAAAGTGTCAGGGGCCCTCCTGGCCTCCACCTACAAAAAGTCACTCAAAGAGAGGACAGGAAGACACTTAAATAACCACCACCAAGAAACATAAAATGACAGCAGAGCAACAGAAACAAATAAATATAGATGCAAAATAGCTGCAAAGAGACAGAAGGAGACTCATAACAACTGCAAAAAGACAAAAAAAACACATAGAGGTGTGTAACAACTACAGAGAGATGCAAAACAACAAAAAGTGGCTAAAATCCTAAAAAGTCTGTGTGTCTTCTTACTCCTATGTAGGAGAGTTGGTGGGGCCTTTTGCATATCTGAGCCCAGGGGCCCAGTGTCTCATAATCTGTCCATGACATTAGTATATTTTGCCATCACTTACACAGAAGCACAAATGAATCAAGCCAAGCTGAGACATCCACACTTCAACCCCTCAGTAATTTCACTGATTTAACTCTGCAACACAACAATAAAACTAAGTAAATAGATTTTTCTGTTTGTTTCCTCTGCCTGTGCTGCTGAACACCATAAATCCTTGTGTTAGTAATCCATCACCCAAAAGCGATAAAGTCAGATTACAAACATTCCATTTGCATGTAAAAAAAAAAGAGGAAGGACAGATACATTGGTGAAACAGCATGACTTCTGGCTAAATTTCCAAACGCAGGAAGTTGAACTGAAAGTCTTGATGGTCAAATGCCAAGTCACATATTCAATTTCTCAGTTAAACATTGAGTCAGTGGTAAATCATTGATCCTGATCAAACTGAGCCCCTGGACTGCAGATCCAGTTTCTCTGTGGGCCAATAGTTGGACCAAAATTTTGTTAAACTTGCCATAGAAGCCATGCTACTTTTCTTTTAAGATACAATGACACCAGAGAAGCAATGTAAGATGTCTCAGGTAAAATATGTTCAACAACAATTAGCCTGCTGAATATTGTCAAAAGAAAGATTATACTGTACATAAGACATAAGACAAATTATTGTGCAAGTCTGCCTTCGTGAACAACAATGATATATTTATTTCAGTCATCCACCTCACTTACAACTCTGAAGCTACATAATGCTCAAGAATTTGTTACCAGCTACAAATCAATAAACTACACTGTGGGTGTTTGTGACCTTACTGTGTGTTTGTATATAGGTTTCTCAGCCCTTTAAATGGGTCAAGATGTACTGAATGAAGGCACTGCAGTGCCACATAGATAGAAGGACACTTTCTTATTTATGAATGTACTTGCCTTGAATAAAGATTGAAGAGTCAGTGACCCACGGGAGTCTTAGCACCTGGCAGCATGTCTGTACCCCTTTCACCTCAGGTGCACTCTCATTTGTACAACATTTGGCTTTCAGTCCCTGGAAGTGTAGCCCTTCCTCTGTCCTCTTCTTATGGATAGATAGATAGATAGATAGATAGATAGATAGATAGATAGATAAACAAATCATGTAGTATTTTTTTTTTCATTTAATTTGCTGCATTAATAGCAAGCTGCCACTAGATGGGGCTATGACATGGATTTTTCCAAATACAACAACTTTGTTTGCATTTACAAACATTCACAAAACCCACACTAAAATATCATTTAATTCCATTAATATAAGTATTAATCAATTACTCTAATAATTTTGGACAGTGACATCAAAATGTAAAAACACAGACACCTGTATCTCCACATTTTAAATGTGAGCATCAACACTTGAAACAATGTTTGGTTTACTTACACTGAACATTGTGCACTATGGATGCAGATATTAAATCCAAATGAGGTTTACATGAATGCAGACCTTTCAGCTGTACATTGATAATGTCCCCATATCGCTCCAAAATCAGCACAGGTGTTCATGGCTTTCTAGGAGTTGCTGCTGTTTGCTCCAGGATTTACCTTTAAGTGGCATCATCACACTAACTACAGCCCTGGCTGTGTCGCAGGCCTTTGCAGCTTACTGCAAACCACAACTTAAAATGCCAGTTTCCCCTTCTCACACTTTTAAAATAACACACCTCTTTGTTCCAGGTTGGGCTGTGATTGGCTGGTTGTGGAACAAAATTACAGTTTTGGCAGCAGTGCAGCTCGATGTGGCTGATCTTCACAAAGCTGCCTGCTACACACCAAGCATGTCATTTTTAAAATTGGAATGAAAGTTAGTGACGGTGGAGTCTTCCCACCTCAAGGTTCGCAAGGCATTTCAACCACAGAGGGCTGCAGTCACTGCACAGTCACACACTCATTTCAAAAATTAACTAATGTGTACAATATTACATAAAAAGATATGTGACATCAGTTTTATTGTAGACTTCTCCTTTCACTATGAAGCTAATATTAGGTTACTGCCATGTCATGTTAGTCAGTATTATTGTTAACCATTTATAAACTCACCTAGAAGGTTTTGTAACAATCGAAAAATGGCACTGACACAGTATCTCTAACCCCTAGCCACCACTGACAACCACCCAATCACCCAATCACAACACCCCTTACCCAGCTGTTTCTAAACTAAACACTTTACTTCTCATGTTCAGGATCACAGATTGGCTAGTGGCTTCATAAGACTCATCACAAAATGGAGGAACGACAGGTGTTTTTCTGTCTTACAGACTAACTCTGTAAACTTTGCTCCCATGCCAGATAGGCCACATGCCCATCACTATCTGGTAAATGTTTGGATTGTTATTGTGGACTTAATGACCCTACATTGTCTGGGTCACTTGTGTCTGGTATCAGAGGTAAAGGACAACTCAGTAAATTTAAGATTCAAGACCCTAATTCTTAAAAGAAAACAACAACAACGTTGCCTCCTGTCAAAATAATAGCCTCAGCATTTTTAACCTTTTCAGTAGGCTAATGTATCCAAAATATCATAATAACACTTGTAATTTTTCACCAGGTCAAGAGCATGTGTTCAGCAAACACCAACAACACACAAAGTGCAACTGCAGCTGCCAAACAGATTTGTGAGGCAGATTCTAGTGTCCTCATTTTGGCCTTTGCCTTTGTTCCAAGAGGGTTAAGCAGGGAAAGATTAACACAAAGAGCTCTCCCTCTGTTCTTTTTTATCTATACCAAAATAACAATGGACTAATCCTACATTTCTAAGAGTAGTGAGCAAAACCACTGGTCCTAGATTTATGTGATTTTTCCCACTTTAATTCCACATGTTAAAGTTTACTTTTACATTTAAAAAATAGCTTTTTTCATAATTTTAATGATCACTTTACCATGATTATTGTTGGGTGATAGTGGTAGTTCAGGGTTTTAATTCTCATTTGGTGTTTTCCATATATCTGGCATTTGCCACAACATCACATTTGACCTAATTTTAGATCTTGTGTATAACTTTTCTGTCTCAATAGTGGCCTGCCATGGTTTGAATGTTTGTTTTTGTAACTTAAACCCATAGCTTTTTTTCTGTTTATTATTGCAACTATAGAAAATACAAGCTACAGCTCTCTTTTGTTTGACAACATAACAAGGGACACGTGTAGGGTAGGTTGTTTCCGTGAAGTATACACAAACAAAAACACTCCTTGGTTTCAGAAGTCAAGATTGAAAAGCTCCCAGGAACTCCTCTAGGCTTTTACAAGTCTCTTAGCCACTTAAGACATTGTGCAACATATGACTGCATCACCTTAAACACACGATCTTTGGCACCATACACGCCAAGCAAGCCAGAACAAAATGTTCACGACGGAAAAAAACGAACCCTCATGTGCGCACGTGAACGCGCATCGAATTCCACTGACCAATCAGCTTACAGAGCCCATCTCTTGTTTGTCCCCACTCACACGTCCATTGTCAGTAGTATTGCACAATTGTGAAGAAATATATTCAGGTCGTGGGTTTTATTTTTAAACCTGTGCTCCTCGCACACAGCGCGTCTCCCTCATAAGTTTTGGTACCTCTTCTAACTTTGCGGTTGCTATGGCTGCGAGTTCATGCGAGGCTGGCAGAGAGGGAAGTGACGACTGGGGCTGTTGTTGGGACACGTGACTGGAGCTGCACTGATCTGTTTTGACAAGCAGTGGGGAGGGAAGTGAGGAGGGGAGGCAGACTGTAAGCATCACGACTAGGAGGACTCACTGTTCCTTTCATCTGCATTTCGTCTGAATAATATCAATGTCGAGCCAGTCTTGTAGTTTTAGCAGTCTGCTGGCATGTCAACGGTAAAATAACGTCCGTTGCTGCCGAGTAAACGCTCGCGCAAAACGTCGCCGTCGTTTACGAAGCGTTGGAGTGAGAGTCTGGCTATTTGTTGTCGGTTTGAAAAGTTTTAATGAAGAACGCGAAGGAAGTCAGCACAGGTGGCGTTTCTAACGTTAAATAGATGGCGACGCTTGGAAGGCTGTGGGTGGACAGAAAGTGGACCATATCAGTCTGATATCACTGGTTAGCATTTCGTGAGAAGAATGATGCGCTGAATATGTTCGAGTCGTAGCAGAAAAATACCGAGACCGTCCGTCATCGGTGTTTGCAGCCGAGCTGAGGCTACCTGCGCTACATTGGGGGTTGGGATGTTTTGGGAGGTCGTCGTCGCCAGTAGACGCTTAACCGAACAGTGACGGTTAAGTTAGTTAGTTGTGTTTGCTGTCGAGCTAACAGTGCTGAGTTAGCAACCCCCCTGTTTTGGCAGAGAGTCGTTGCGAGGAGCCAGTGTTACAGGAGAGGGGGACACTGAAATGCATCGCGACGTAACTATGGTTCAGGTGGTGGAATTTGAGACGAGTAGCCAGCTAGCTAGTTAAATTACTAGTAGTCAGATTGGTTACTCGCTAGCAAGGGGATTGACAACTCCATTACCTACCGCTAACTGTAACCGGCTATCAGCTGTCTTTGTGTTAGTCAGTCGGACAATATAGTGCGACTCGATGGAAGCGTACAGTAGCATGCTAACAAAGCAATGCTTTGTTGTTGGATAGGGGGCAGCTGGCACCAACACACAGGCTTCACAGCTGATATTATTGCTTAGCTAATACAGCAGGTCTCAGTCACAGAGGGTTTGGGGGGTCCAGACACCGTTGTGTTGCTGTCAAGGCTGTGTGTGAGAGAAAAAAGAGACGGCTGAGAAGACCCTGCAAGAGACCCTGAAGGCAACCTGATGACACTGGACAACATGAAGTCGGAGCGAGGTATGTGGAGCAACACAAGCACGCATTTTGTTTACATATTTGTACACAGACACATGTAGAGTGGACTTGATGGTCAGTGTGTGGGCAAGCTGTGCCTTTCCAGCTTTAGTGGACTGACTGTACCCATTCCCCTCAGAGAAAAATCAGGCCAGGGAATTATGTAACAGCTGGTCATCCTGGTCACTGGTTATGTGAATTAACAAAGCCTGACCCAAGTCAATAAGGACGTGCATATACAACAACACATTTGCTGCTCCAGTTTTGGATGCTGGCACGAATGTCAGCTGTTTCCTTTCCCCCATCTCCACCGCATCAACATATAACCTGCAAGATCCTCTCGTGCCAAATGCTATTCCCTTTTTCCAGTAGCTCTTGTTTTGACAGTCTCTTGCACGGGGCTGCTGCAAAATGTTCTTGACACCCACCCTGTTGTGGAAATCAGGCTCCTGCCGTATGCCTTGCAACCTGTTTACATGTCGCTGTATCTGCAGCAAGAGGTAAAACAGGGACAGAGAGGACACCCTTGTTTGTTTCAATGTGATTATGCTAATTTTATTAGTGCATTAATTTGTAAAGGGTAACTCAGTACCGTAATCCATGCCCTGACACAGTTATCATAAGGTGTTGTATAAACACACTCATTGTATAAGATAAATCATTCACTTCATGATTGATTGTAAACTGTTGTTCGTGATCCAGGGTTAACAGCACCATACTTGGAAGCAGTGGAGGGACACTGTTCTCAGTCATGATGAGATTAGCTGCAGTCAATCAGGGATAGTCTGTGTTTTTGCATAGGTTATGAAACTGCAGTCAGGCTGCTGACTGGCCTGAGTGGGATCTTCCTTTAGAACACAATATGGTGGTAATGGGACTCCACAACACACACAGTAAACATGAGCCCTATATGGGCCTAGATGTTTAACCCTAGCCTTGCCTTGACTGTGCGATCTGAAGCCTTTATATAGAAGCACTGACCCAGACATCTGTGTGATGTGACTGGCCTGGGTAAAGGGCACACTACCTGACACTGTACAGTGTAATTATAGCCTAATAATGCAGAACAGCGTGCCGGGTCACCCGTGAATAGCACTGCTGCTGACGTATGTTCTAGTATTGGTTGGGATAATGGCTCTCAAATTGGGGATATTGAGAGGATTTACAAACAAATACTCAGTGTATCTGCCTTATATCAGCCAAAAAGACTGAAAACTGTTGGTCTAAGGCACATTACTACAGCAAGTCTGTTCTTCACACTTCATGGATTGTCACCATGTCAGGTTGGCTCACTCACTGTCACGTTCTAATTATGAAAGCTTGTGCCAGTAGAAGCTGCTCCACAGCAGTAGCTCCCTGTTTGACTGGCAGACATGATGGGGCTATTGTTATTTGGCACATACTGTATCGTTCCTGTGGTGGAGATACCAGATTGCTTATAGCCCACACGCCTTCCTTATTTTGCCTCTCTCCTCTCCTTGCTCGCAGAGAAAAGGGCCTGCAGTGGTGAGAGAGGCTGTTTACTCAGTAGCCTGGGCCACAGAGAAGTCAAGTTGAGAGCAAAGCAGGCAGTTTCTCTGCTCTGATGTTAGATTGAGGGTTGGAGAAACCAGCTATATTAAGTTTGAAGGGGTGACCTGAACAAGTCCAGACATGTCCATCTAACAATAACTGTCCTGCAACAAGCAGTCATGGGCTGTGACCTCCTGAGTCAGGTTGGTGTGAAAAGTCAAGCCAAGGCTTTGGGTGGGGGATGAGGTAGATTCAGCACCCTGCTATACCTTGGCTCTCGCTCCACCTTTAGCACCTTGAGGTGGGACTGTGAGAACTGGTGATGCTCAAATCCAACATAGTAAATCCATATCTGTGCTGATGTTGATCTTAATAAACAGATCTCATATCAGGCAAATGTGACCAATCTTAAATAAGTTTCTTAGTCAGTGCTGTAAAAACAATTTTATAAAACTTACAGAAAACATGATTTTAAAAACAATATGTGTAATAATGATGTTTGTGTATCAGAATTGGTATCCAATGAAAAGAACATAAAAGTCTAGAAGTCTCCAGATACCTGAGTTCCTGATGGAAACAAAGAATTTAGACTTTAGATCCGCAGATCAGCATCTTCATCTTTATGCACCATCTCTTTGTGAGTCATGCTTTTGTTGTAAAGGGAGTAGGCTTGTCACGGCAGTCGGTGTTACTGGTGTTACACCATATTCAGGCATACACTGATTACACATGTATTACATCACTTGGCCACCATTCCCACCATTGTTGCACTTTTTTGGTGAAAGTAAACCCATTTAGTTCTTTTTCACATATACATTCATCAAAAACAAAAAAACCTTGAATTTTTAAAACACTTGGCGTGTTATCAGTACAAAGTCAGCCGATGGACGCCAAAATTATGAACTGAAACCGTACAACAGTAGCAGCAGAGTCGCAGCAAAAAGCTCTGCCAGAATTAAGCCGACACCTTCTGCGCCAGGTAATATTCATGAACTCATGCTACCGAGATGACTACAACCTCAATGTTCAGGAGACCAAGAGGGTGATCAAAGAAGACATGGTCATCCTAAAGCAGAGAGCGTGCCCTGTGAGAGAAGAGGCAGATGAAGGTGAGGGGGAAGCCGCTAAACAGCCCGAGCCACAGCCTAATAGAAGAAAACAAAACAAAAACAGGTGCTGCCACAACCACACCAACTGTTAACTGCTCTCTTATATTCAGAGCATGTGAGGATCTAAAGATATAACATTAAAGATTAAAGTAAGCACTCTACATATATTAAAGGAGCAGTGTGTAGGATTTAGTGGCATCTAGAGTAGAGGATTTGCAGATTGCCACCAGCTGAAATGTCTCCTGTGTGCCAACCATACACTCCCAGTTAGTATGTCTCAAGTGTTCATTCTAAAGTAGGCTTTTACCAGTAGCCGAATTATCTGTAGAGGACTCTTCCTCTCCAAAACAATAAAGCAGTTTCATATTCAAAATCAGTGTTTCTTTGGCGCTGTTTGGCTCGTCGCAGACTGGTCGCTAGCCTAGCACCTTTTTCTCTGGTAACATAAGATCCAGACATTCAGGAGGTTTTTATCATGAACTGAAATATCCGCAGAGGTGTCTTCCTCTCCAAAATAAATGGACCCAATGATTTAAACTGATAAATACACAAAATAAAGCAGTTTTATTTTAAAAATCAGCATTTACCTAACGCTGTTCGCAGAGGGGCTGCTAACTACCGGGGCCGTATGATCTGTTCTGGGCTACAGTAGAAACATGGCGGTGCAATATGACGAATATCTTTTTTTTGTAAAATGTCCGGTGTAATCCATAACACCATTGTTGTCACATGTTATTAACCAGTGGGAAAATCTCCTCACCGTGGCATCCCAGAAAGGTTGAAGAGAAGCACTTGTGTTCTGCTCAGGGGCCTAACCAGAGTCATCTGCCCCCCTTTGTTTCTCTGTGAGTTTAGCTGTGACTCAGGATGGCGTGTGTGTGTGAGTGAGTGCATGCGGGTGTGAGGAGAGAGTGAGTGTAGCAGTGAGTACACAAAGCGATCGCTATTGGCCCTAATAAGTGCTGTACCGTTGAACCATGTGGCGCAACTGACAGCTTTTACAGGTCCCATAAAGAGCAGCAATGGAATACTCGGGACCTGTTTACACCAGCAGGGTAAAACATGGCCCGTTGGATCGGGTTTCAAACTGTTTCAGCTGAAGTGTGGTTAAGCTGTGTTTTATTTGTGTCCTTAAAGACATGATTTTGTTTTTGTGCTCATGTCTCCATGCGTAGAAGGGCAATGTTTGATTCTAAAACCACAGTGGAATTGTTTACATTGTAAAAATAGGCTGTTTTTGCTCAGCTGCGGTTCTCTTTACAACCAAACCACTGAAGGGAAATTACAAATAAGAAAGACTTTACATTTGATTGTGATATGAGGTCACATGGGGAAATGTATGAGCAAAGAGCTGAGGATGGTGACAGAGTGCTTCCTCCTTTTATGCCCTCAACCACAGCTCTCCTTCTCTCCCCCTTTCAGACACACATTAGACAACAGAGAGATGACCTCAGAGCTAGTCATCTTGGAGAGACTCAGTCAGCTGGCAAGCCTCAGCGCTGGGCTCCTCCTGTCTGTAATGTTATTCGGTGTGTTTGTGTGGTGGCGCTTCCTGTTTGGAGTCATTAGTCCTTTAAGGGGGAGTTGAATACAAGTCCACCACACCACCCGCCCTCACCCAACTTAATCCACTGCCTGCCTTCTGCCGCGCACTCAGCCAGATTACAGCTGCCCTGAGATGTCCCAGCCACATGCCAGCGGATCAGAGTATACACTCTCACTGACAAGAGATCCAGATAACCCAGAGCGACATACACTCTTGTCCTGTACAGCACCTGTCTAGTCCTGTGTTGTCTTTGCCTCCTCCTCCTCGGCAGTGATTTACCCCGTAGCAGGAGGTAGCCATAACAGGTGCTCTCCTCTGTTTTACTCCTCTCACACAGTTGGAGTCCATCTGTATAATTTTTCCCCTTTCTTGTTTCACTCATTTATTTACCGAGTCTCTGTTCTCAAGGATTTCAACTACAGCAAAACTAGCACTCGTTTGTGGTACTGTATTTTTTTTATTCCAAAACACATCCTGTCATTTGTCATTACTTATTATTCCATGTATGATAGTTGGAAACTAAACACAACAGAAACAAACACATTGAAAACCATGACTTTGTATTTATTTTTTTCACTTAAAGATATTCCTGTTTACTTATACGCAATCTTACATTAGGTATTCATTTAATCAGCTAGTTCAAGTCAACATAAGTGTTTCACCGTATTGCCTTTTCATTACAACACCAATGCCATTTGCTGACCCAGCTGCACTGAACATGGATATTGGACTCACCATTGTACAGCGAGATTCAGAGCTGCCTTTCGCAATGAATACCAATACAGGGTAGGCATTCAGCTGTGAATTACTCTCCAAGCCCACCCGGAGTAATCAGC